AAGTAAGAGAAGATATAGATCAATCTACAGAATGATAAGCAGACTACGCAAGGAATGAATTTACTAGGGTAACACCAGCCTATGAGAAGGATAAATTACCGACCATGTCCATGAAAATTGACTGGAAATATTTACAAAATCCTCACCTGCTATCACCTACGAAGTCGGTTGATACAACATCATCTTCTGTGTATCCAAGGATACCCTTCATTTTACCCTCAGACTCCTCCCTGAAAGTGAAAACAGAAGTTTACAGAAGAATATTCAAGCAGGGTGGAATGAGGTTGTTATAACTAGCCATGCAGAAGGGAACACTGAAAAAATATGAGAATGAAGTATGAGAAAAAAAAATTATGCTGATCCTTACTTGAGAGCAGCTTTAATTTCATCATATGAAGCTGCCTTTTCAAGCCTTACGGTTAGATCAACGACTGACACATCAACAGTTGGCACACGGAAAGCCATCCCAGTAAGCTTTCCATTTAGAGAAGGAAGTACTTTCCCAACAGCCTACGATATTAATTGTGTTAGGAACAATGCAAGCATATGATGGCTAAAAAGCAACTCCATAATCAAGGTACATACTGCATAAATCTCAATTCTATAGATACACGTGCATTAACGGTCAAGAAACTGATCCATGCCAAAAGCTCACAATGCCTTCATTACGCTATACTATCTATTCATGTAATGAAACATATCTTCATATATTTCATCTATCAAAATATTATTCGATATTGTAAGTTATATAACAAATGAACACCAAATAAATACGAAGGTTGGAGGGTCAATTTTATACCACAAATTGCAAGTCACGATACCTTGGCAGCTCCAGTACTGCTGGGAATAATGTTGAATGATGCAGCTCTTCCACCTCTCCAGTCCTTCTGCGATGGACCATCAACGGTCTTCTGTGTTGCTGAATCATAAACAAACATCAATACCAGTTCAGACCTATGTCAAAAACTCCCAAGAGAACCATGTATTACCAGTAATGGAGTGGACAGTTGTCATTAGACCCTCAACAATACCAAACCTGTCATGAAGAACCTGCCACACACTCAACAGCATTAGATCAAGGTCAGTTTTAGGTTATCATGGAACTTAAATGATATACATGGTACCCAGGGCAACTTAGAAGAGAACATACCTTTGCCAATGGAGCAAGACAATTGGTAGTGCAACTAGCATTCGAGACAATATCGACATCTGGCTTGTAATCCTTCTCGTTGACACCAACAACAAACATGGGAGCATCCTTACTTGGGGCAGAAATGATGACCTTCTTCGCACCTCCCTGGGAATCAAAGGATAGAACCAAAAAACAATCAATTAAACATTACTATCTTATTATCCTAAATTTGTAAAACTTGTAAATCATGTCCTGTGGCATATGTACAGGTATGAGATGTTACATATTTCTGAAATAACTAATTACAAGGGAGGAAAGAATGAAATAAAACAATCGACTTTGTCCTTGTCACTAATTTTGGATTGTAGTTCTATAAGAAGAACGATTATATACAAACCTTCAAGTGGGCAGCAGCTTTGTCCTTGTCAGTAAAAACTCCTGTTGACTCGACAACATAATCAGCTCCAGCTTCAGCCCATGGGATCTCCTCTGGGTTCCTGTGCATCAAACATAAAATTGTAATAATAATATATAGAGAGAGATATTTATCACCCAGACAAGGTGATTGAAAGATACCTCACACCAAAGACGGTCACTGGCTTCTCACCAAAGAGAAGGGTCTTAGAATCCTTAACCTGAAGCTCGTGCTTTTTCCATGGACCATGAACACTGTCATATTTGAACATATAGGTCTGTTCATCATAGTACAAGAACCAAAATTAAGAAAGAGTTCAGTATACATAAAACCCAGCAAGAGAAGAAATTGGAACAAAGGCAGAAAAAACTAATCCTATTCCTGGATAGCCTTTAAAAAGAAAATGGCACAAACCACCATGCTAATTTTCTCCGTAAGTTAGAAATCTGAGATCGGCAAAAAGACATAGATGCATTTAATAACTGGGATGAGTTAATCAAGTGAATAACTTGGATCTGATTAAATATGGTTGACATGCAAAAGTTAATCGATGGAAAAAATCTCTGAAAAGTGAACTTTGCCCAGACAAACAACATGAGACTAGTTAAAGTTTTATGAATGTACTGAAGCAATGCGGAATTGAATATGTACAAATAATTCACAACACGCCATAACCACAGTGTATACATCTCTCTAATCAGTACGGAAACTGTTAATCAGTGATTCTGTGATCCACCAAAGGATCCAGGGATCTCACATTTGATAACACTTTTCACATTAAAATCAAGCTAGTTAGATAAAGGGATCCGATTTTTCACTAGTAAAAATCTACATGCAAAACGTAGATACCGCGAATCACATAAATGCAGATAACATTATCCAGTAAAGAACGAAAATTACCATGTAATCCGCGGTAATGAATGGATCATTAACAGCGACAAGTTCGACATCATCGCTTTGAAGTGCAACTCTGGCAACCAAACGCCCAATCCTTCCAAATCCTAATCAGATCAAGCATTCGAAATAGACGTTCACAAATAGTGCAAAACAGAACAAAACTAAAACAATATGCAAATGGGATTGAATTGAATGATAATTAAAATTACCATTGATTCCGATCTTGATTTTAGCCATTATGAAAGCGAGATCTATAAAACAACGGCACAAATATTTGTAGCGAATAACAAAAGTGCACAGGAGCAGTGAGAATGAGTACTAGGGTTGAGTTATTATATATAGAATGAGCACTAGAGGCAAATGAATCGCAGAGGCGGGATTGTCGAGGCGAAAAGGTGGTGGGACCAGTTGTAGGCTCACGTGACGGTGTCGTGGATTGTAACGGTACATTTTGAACTGGTTGCCTTGGGCTGACGGACTTGGCAATGTTGTTGTGAGTTGTGATTAATTTTAGAGAAAATTACATCTAGACCTATTTTTTAAGTTTACATTTCATTAATAAGATTTTAAGTTAAATAATTCATAAATCAGGTGGAAATTATTTATTTAATATTTATTAACCACACCCACACCACAAACCCTCGTCTCTCTCTCTGACCATTGATATGTCATAGAGGAGAGGTGCAGTGGTGCGATGGCAATTCAACCAATAGCTGAAGCCTTTGATCTATTGGTGGCGATTGTGTAGATAAGGCTGGTGATTGTGGTGGTGGTGGAGGGGGATGGATAGAAGGAGAAGGGAATGTGACAAAGAGGAGGGATGAAAGTGATTTTGTAAGTGTTGGCGACAATGGTGTTTGAGGCAGAAGACGAATTTTCGCAAAGGACCGCGGGGTCCTGGTTAGATTTAGAGAGCGATTTATTGAAAGTGAGCGTGATGATAACGGAACCAGCTATGTGAAGTGAGTGACAGTAATTGAAGTGCGCGAAGACCAACTGTTGTTGGATGTACACTGCTTCCTTCATCAGATGACGTCGAAATCTGGTGAAAAGATGTGGTTTGATGGCCAGCGATGTACAATGGTAGAATCTGTGGTTCTATCTTTGGCCAAATAAATATGTGCGACCCCAGAGCATGGTTGTTTCACAGTTAAACAAGAAAAGTAGAATGTGTGCAAATGAAAATTTGGGTGTTAATTTAGGTCGCTTTCTGCTCTGAGTGAATAAAA